AAAAAAAAAAAAAGAAAAGAAATATAAATATTTTTTTGATAAGTAATTTTATTTTTAAATTAATATTAAAAAATAATTTATTATTGTTATAAAGATAAATATAATTTATTTTTTTATACATACAATATGGATGTTAAAGCGAAGCTTATCAAGAAATGATTAATTTGATATTATATATATATATATAACTGATAAGAAATACAAAAGTTATTATCTATTAAAATATATTTACAATTTAATGGTTATAACATAATATTAAAATACAATTAATACATGTAACATGATCATACATAATCAATATATTTATGGATAATCCGAACCTAAAATTTTTTGGATTGGAAATAAATTAAAATCTACTCAAGCCTAATAATGAACTACGTAATTTAGCCACATAGGAACTGAAACATACGGGTCTGTCATTTAGGCTCGGCACGTTTTGAATTAATATATAAGGTGAATGGGAATGCGTAGGACCTTAGACACACATTGATTATATTCTTTAATAAATATTAAACATAAAAATATATTATTTTTGTTTAAAATAGGTCTACCTACTATTAGAAGGTCTCACAACAATACTTGTGGGGGGAAATTTTTTTGACCAACGTAAAGTTTGGGGTTTTTTTTGGCTTTGCAACCTAATCTTTTAATTTTGATAAAATGCAACTCCAACTATACGTTATTGATAAATTGCAACCTCGGCCACGACAACGGCGGAGCTTAAGGGTAAAATTGTAATCTTATATCATATCAAACTATTAAAATATCATTCCTCCCCCATTTATTCAATCTAAGAACCCGATATCCCCAATTTGACGATTTCCTCAATTTCCCAAAATTGAAGAACATACCCAGTATTTTCAAAATTAAACATACCCAGTATTTTGCACACGAAACATATCTTCTTCCAGGATTAAGGTCAGTCCACGACGTCCTCGTGACCACATTTTTTCCGCAATGACAAAATCTTTCCACGATATGCTCAGTTGTTTGCCTCTACTCCATTTGGACAATTTAGGGTTAGGGTTCTTATGAAATTGGGGAAAAATTTGGGGAAAATTTTGGATAAGAGGATTGTGAAAGAGAACGATATATTTATATACGATATATAAGGTCAGATTACAATTTTACCCTTAGAATTAATGCCCGCTCCGCCGCTTAAGGAGTTTTTCGTCCAATTGCGGTGGCCGAGGTTGCAATTTATCAATAACATATAATTGGGGTTGCATTTTATCAAAATTAAAAGATTAGGTTGCAAAACCGAAAAACCTCAAAGTTCAAGTTGGTCAAAATTTTTTTCCCTGCTTGTGGATATGATGAGGATTATATAATTTTAACTAGTGCGATGTTAGAAAACGTGTCACGCTAACTTAGCTCTAAACATGAGATCTAATTAATTTAAGGCTTGTGAAGTCGATGTTTAATCATATTTAAGTGAAAGCCCTTAGTCCTATCATTAATTAGCTCAAAAGTCAAATTAACTGGCCCCATTTTTTTATACCAACCTAAAGCTAATCAAATTAATGTATTGGTCATACCAATATCCCAATCTAGTTTTCGTATATAAATTAATACTTATGTAAAATTAGCTTCGATGTTCTTTATAATAGACACACACACATATATTTCATTATAGAGAGGGTTAACACAACACATTCATAATTACAAATACAAATGAGTATTATTCAATTGTCTTATTCAATAGTAGAAGTAGTAGTAGTAGGTAGTAAGCCATTTTCATGCACTCGATTGGTTCCCCCTCTTATTCCTTGTGGTCTTCTCTTAACACTGCATTATCCACGGAATCATAGAAACTAATTTAGTCGAAACAAATTATACCAAATAACACGGTCCAATGAACACTAAAGTAATTTAATCATTGATATATTTTAACTTGCCTTATTCTTTGATGATTTCTCGTTGTCGCTCTCATCGCTGCTGCTGCTGCTGCCACTGTCACTACATCCTCCATCGTGCTTGTTCTTGCGACTCTTCTTCTTGTGCTTCTTCGTGTTGTGGTCGAACATTTTCGGGAGGCAATGACCATCTTGCCCTTCCGTCTTCTTCACCTGGTGATGGTGATGGGTTTTCACGCCAGTGGTGGAGCAGTTGTTGTTGTGAGGGTGTTTGTTGTGGTCAAAGATCTTATGAGTCATGTCCTTCACTTTGTCTGTGAAGGAGTGCTCGTGAGCGTGCTTGTTGTGGCACGTCTCGACTTTCGTGGTCGTCTTCTCGTGGCATGTTACCGTGTGATTGACTTGTTGGTCACAAGGCTTGCACAACTGCTGTGTGGCCATCTCTTATTTAAGGGAATTATTGAGAGTTTTGAAGGTTTTTGTTTCTTGGCTTTGTGATTGTCTTGTTATTAGATGGGTGTGTTTATATAGAGGTGTTTTGGAGTAGTGGGGTACAGTTGTTTGGCCTCTTTATGTTAAATCATACTTCTTTGCATCTATTCTCAATGCCAGCCACAAGGTATATGTTCTAATTCTTTGGAGGATGGAGCTAAGTGTGGTGATCATATTCTAGACTTTAGTAGGAATATGGCCAAGTGAATTTTTTGCCTATTTGGAGCACTTCATTTAATTGTTATGCTATAAGACGCAACCATAATAATATGGTAGGAATGACTATTGACTGTTCTTTCGTGGGAATGATATCAACCGTTAATATTCAACTTGTTTAGTTGTTAGTGGATACAAACCGACTTAACGATTGACCAATCAAAAGATAGTTTATTCGATAGACTTTATATTAATAGTTTTTTTTTATTCAAAATGTTAATTTTGAAAAAGCTGATAAGAGTCGGCATTTTTCGGTAAAGATAATTAAGAAAATCAGTATAATGTAACAGCTATATAATTCCGTTATTTATCAAATGTTCATTTACAAATCTCTTATAGAAAGAAGACGCTAATCAAATCAACCTACGCAATCAACTATCAACTAACTATTAACTAATAGTCAAACAAGTTCATTACAATTTGAAAGTCGACAATTCAAACATATATACTATACGATAACTTAATTATGTCTAGAATCTAAATTCAAACAAAATTTCTAGATGAAGTAATATATAGAAGTTTAGAAGAAAAAAAAATTACGAGATTGTCAGAGTTGGGAAAAATTGAGTTGGGAAAATACACCATGGTCTTGTTTAGACATGGTCAAAACCCGAGTCGGGTCGCTGGGCTCGAAAACAATTACCCGAACCCGGCACGGACCTATACTCGTGTCGGGTCAATGGCCCAGTTGATCGGGCCGGGTCCAGTTCTAGGTCGGGTCGTGTCCGGGCCAGATTCGCCATTTTTTTAAAAACAATAGAAAAATAAAAATAAAAATAAAAAAGGGAATCGACCCAGCCCGGCCCGGACGGGTCATTAAATGGATGACCCTGACTAGGGGTGGTACCGGTTCAATTACCGAACCGATAAGCGTATACCGATACCGTACCGATAATATCGTTAACCTCGGAATGCAAAACCGATACCGAACCGATTAAAGTCGGTTACCAAAAATTCGGTAACCAAAAATTCGGTTCGGTTTCGGTTCAGTTTCGGTTTTATACGTAAAAAACCGAACCAATTTGAGCATAAAAAAAAGCTAGTGTTTCACTTTTCTTGTCATTTTTGTACTTTTTTTTCACTTCTTACCAATTAAATACACACAAAAGACTCACAAATCCATTGAAGGATTAAAAAGTCTAAATTTAATATATAAAAGTTAGTTTTAATATAATTAGATTATGGTTTTTGTGGTAAACGCAACTAATAAAACAATAAATTTCTAACAAGCAAAAAATAAAATTTGTGATACGACTTCAAGACTACAGTAACGGTAGCATCTTCTTTAGAAGGTGTGAGACTGGTAAACCGACAATGTTCCGATTAGAAGGTGAATGAGGCGATGAGTAGTGGTATTTTTCTCATCATTTTGAGAATTAGGTAGGGTTGAACCCTTATTTCAATTTTTGAACACTAAATAACTAATCCTTGTTTTAATATTTAAAAAAAATATATGTTTTAATTTTTTTTACCCTTATCGGTTCGGTATCGGTTTTACCGAACTCTTATGTGTTCAAACCGATATCGTACCGATAGTGATTCGGTAACCGATAGTCGATTACCGTTACAAGCGGTTCGGTACATTTCGGTTTATTTTCTCGTCGGTTCGGTTTGGTTCGGTTCGGTTTTCAGTTAAAAAATGCCAGCTCTAACCCTGACACAACCCTTCGGAAATCTGGTCCAAGCCTAGACCCGTGGTCAACGGGTTTGACCGAGCCGGGTCCGTGCCGGGTCGACGGGCTGGGCGGCCCTTGGCCATGTCTAGTCTAGTTCTATAGGGGGAGTTGATTTTCGTGCCAAACGAAGTTGGGGGAGATGATGGGTGGCGGATAACCTGGCCTGGGCTGGACAATTCTTACACAACTATTGGGCTCATTTTTATTAAATGAAGGAATCAGACCCATTTAAGGAAGGCTTAGCATAAGAAATCTATTGGGCTTATCGTTTTCAAAACAATAATATTGGGCTGTTTGGAAAAGAGAAGTTGGTGCGGGTTTTCTCCTTCATGATCTAAGTTTTACTTTGACACATTTTCTATCTTCATATAGTGGGCCGATTAAAGTACTTAACTTTCCAATTAATTAAAAAAAAATCATTAAAACTAAGAGTACATTAAATTCCAAAAACCTCAATTTTCATACCAACTAGTATAAAACACCATCGACTTAATTCCGTTAATCATTTTCATTTTCTACCATGACTGAGTGATATTATTTAATTATATTGATAATATTGATGATAGGCTTGGCAGGCGACTGGTGTCGTCGTCTTCTCCGTCAGTGGTGGAGTTCCGATTGGTGTTGGTAAGTCTCGCCTCTTTTCCCTTGTCCGCTTTTGTTGGACTCTGCTATTCCGACGGAGTTCCACCTTTCAGGTGGGGCCTGGTCCTCTTCTCGTCGGCAGTTTGTGGTGGAGACGGTGGTGCGTGCGTCATTGGGTGTGGCGGAACTCTGATTGCTGAGGCTTCTCGGGTCGTGGCTGTTTGAGTTGAGAGATCGAGCCACCCTCACCCGCCCTCGTTCCGGCTAGTGGTGTTAGGCGGCGGGGGTCGGGGTTCTACCGAGCTCGGCTAGTGGTGTTAGGCGAGTTCGGGCGGAGCTGGTGTGGGGGTTGTTTTGTTTCTCTCTCGGTTGAGGATGGGTCAATTCGGGGAGTGGTTCTTGGCTCGGTTTTGGCTATTGTATAGGCGAGTGTGCAGTTTCGGTAGTTGAATCTTGGGTTAGAATCTCTCTTGTGTTGACCGTTCACTGTTGGTCGGACCTCTTCGGTTGCTGGGGAAGGGCTAGGCTTTTTATTTGTTTTTGTTGTGTCTTTTGTATCTGTTTTAGTTTTCGTCTGTCTTGAGTCCGTGTGTGTGTTATTTTTGGTCATGTTTTTTAGGTTTGGGCCGTTGGCCCAGGTACTGACTCCCTGTGGGGGACGTTTCTATTCTCCTGTGGGGAGCGTTTCAT